CTTCCTTCCGAGGAGTGGCTGGGGGGTTTGAACCGCCAGCCTTCTGGTTAGCAGTCAAGTGCCTTAGGCACTATGCTACCAGAGCTCCCCACTTCCACTTAATGAATAGTAAATAATCGTCATGCCATAGTTAGTAAATTTATCTATTATGTGTGTGGGTAAATGTCTTCAAGTGAAAATCTAATAACTGTATGGTGAGAACTGTGTTAATAGACTGTGTTACCACTAAAGCTTCTGGTCAACAGTAGACTATTAGTAGTTAATTTTGTGGGGAGTCAAAAGTTAAACACAGATTTTTGACTGCACAAGGGGGTCAGCATCCCTAATCCCCACATTGTTCAAGGGTCAGTTGTATACACAATAAAACATAATACCTATTCAACAGATTTTACTCCAACAGTTCAGTAATGTGTTACATCACATTATGTCAGCATTCTCACTAACTGCCTATCTCGGTTTACCACTAGGAACTTAGACTCTCTGCCCCTGAAAGTTCTCATTTTCTGCTTTAGAGTTAGTGTTGAGTTTGCTCTCACATAGATACAGATAATTCTTTTATAATGCACAGTGTTTGAGGCAGACATTCTTTATTGAGCTAAACGGTTGTTTACTTTAAAGATGACTTCATGGGATAGTTTGAGTTTATGGTTTAAATGTTGGTTCCAGGTGATAGATTCAGTGCTTTATCCAGTCTCAATGTATCTAGTATGTCTGGTTTTCATAAGAATTTGAAGTTTTGTTCCACATTTTTCTTTCTCCTGATCAAGATCCATCTGTTGGGTCTTGATCACAACGTTTAGTAATGATAGCTAGGCACCAGTCATTTCTTCTGGTCTTATGGCAGAGGAGGCTTTAGGTCATGGAGGCAATTATATATGTATCCATTTCCTTCTCTGATTCCTGGGTCTCCTTCCTCCGTTGTTCCAGGCAGTTAACAATTAATTTGTTGTGTTTTGGGTGACAGTAAGCTTTTAAGACCCCAGGCAGTACTTATGAACTAGAAGGTAGAGAGGAAACTCCAAAAACAATTTCAGGCCAGTCTACGTTATTTCCATGAAACCATGACCCTAAACCTTTGAATCAAGAAAACTAATCTCAAGAGATCCATCTGAAGTAGTTCAAAGTAAACTCCACTGAGTCTCATTGACAACTGATGGGCATTTTCTGTTGAGCACACTCATATCTTCAGTTTCCATAGTTCTCAGACCACCTTAACCCCAGCATTATGGACTAAGATTCAAAACCCTTTTTTAAAATCTAGCTACAAATACAGAATTGTAGAGTTAGAAGGGACTTCAGAAACTAGAAACTATCTTTCCCGACTTTCTCATTTTACAGATAAGAAAAACAAAGCCCATAGAGGTGATGTGGGTTGCCCAGAGCCACTCAGTGAGTTCATGGCAAGGCCAGGACTAGGTGTTGAGTCTCCTAGTTCATAGTGTAGTGCCGTTTCCCCTTATTTTAATAGCTTTGTGGCAGTGTGTCACCTTTCTCTACCAAAAAAATCATTATAACCCTTCTGTTAATGCTGCATCTGAACTCTCCCAGTAAGGAACATACATCCAATAAAGAGATCTGAAGACACTTTTGGACATATCTCCAGCAAATAAGATTTGGCTTCAATCATAATACCTTATTCAGAGTTTGCTGGATATGTGCATTCTAGGTGAAGATGCCAGCTGTTTTTCTGCAAAGTCTGTGGAGCAATATTATGGTTGGAACATTGGAAAACGGAGAGCTGCCGAGGTAATCCCATGTCTGCCTATTCGATATTCAGGCCAGTACTGAGAGCTCATGGGGAAAAAAGAACTGAAACATTCATGGATTCTGGGTGCCTGCTTGTTGTTAGGTTCCATCAAATTGATTTCAACTCATAGCAATCCATGTGACATGAGAGCTGCCCTATAGGGCTATTACCATTGTAGAAGCAGATCCCAGGTCTTTTTCCTGTGGAGATGCTGGTTGGGTTCAAACTACAAAGCTTTCCTTTGCTTGACTGTTGGCACCACTAGGGCTGTTTCCTTAAACCATTCCTTATACAACAGTGATAAAATTTGTAGCATGTTTTGTCAGTACTTTGATAAATAATCACAAAATATTTTCTCAGTCAGAACCCTCATTCTTCAAAGACATGAAGCTAGCCTTTCAAAGACCTACTTTATTGTCCTGCATTGATAAAAGTATTACATCTTCTAGAACATTTTATGACTTTCAAAAACTTAAAATTAATTCCTTATTGAGTGCTTATGGTGTGCCAACTACTGTGTCAGTTATAATGGGGACATCCCATGTACAAAGGCATGGTTAGGAAGCTGTGAGAAAGTCAGTGTGCTTGGAGGAGGTGGGGGGAGGGGAAGTGGGTAACTGTAAGTTGTTGTTGTTGTTGTTATGTGCTGTCGAGTTGGCCCCGACTCATAGCGACCCCTCCTTGGGTTTCCGAGGCAGTATCACTACGGAAGTAGGATTGCCCAACCTTCCTTCCAAGTAGTGGCTGGTGGGTTTGAACCGCCAGCCTTCTGGTTAGGACCAGGTAAAAAGCCTTGTAGCCAAATCTAGGAATTTCAGTTTTATTTTATAAGCATTAAGGAGCCAGTATATATTGTTTCACTTTAAAGAAAAAATAAGAAACTGAAGAATACCACAATCAGGTTTTTTTCTTTAGGAAAAAATGATTCTAACAAGTTTAAGTTAGCATGGTTATATATAAGTGGGTGATTTGTTTAAACATACTGCTGTTAAGTTGAAGATTTGATTGTGGTTCAAAAACTTTTTTTTAAGTGGCAAAGAGCAATGACAATACGAAAAGTCTTACAAGAAATACTGGAAAGAAACTCAAGATTTCACCACCTGACTCCCCTGAAAACCAAGCACATTGCTCACTGGTGTCGCTGTCATGGCTACACCCCCCCTGATCCCGAGAGTCTGAGGAATGACGGGGATACAATTGAGGATGTGCTGACCCAGATTGACAGTGAACCAGGTAACCTTCAGTGGAACTGCACCGAGCCTCGTGGACGACTGAGAGGCATTGTTGAGTGCACTCACATTACTTTACCATCCATAGCTCTCAGACCACCTTAGCCCTAGCAGTTTTCTGTGTTCTTCCTTTTTACTGGGTAAAAGGACCTGAGGACTTGAAAGAGTTTCTGCTTACCTCTTGCTATGTCCCCCAACCCCAAGGACGGTACATGGTCCACACAGAACTGTTTGTGCCCCAAGGTTGCAAGCTTTGCTCATGTTGTACTCCAGTCAGTCATGCTCCAGACTGTGCCATCCCACAGGTGCACATCTGTTGCTTCAGGAGTCCTTTCCTCCTCACATCATTTCCTCTTTAAAGGCTTTCCTATTCCATCTCTTCCCCTCCAGATAGAAATGACTTCTCATTCCCTTGAGACCTTCTGAACCTCCAAAGTACAAGTCTTAGTCTATCTCTTGAAGGTGGGGACTGTTTTACATCTTTATCTCCAACACCTAGGTAGGAAGTACGTGACCCAGTGTAGGAGACACAGGTATGAGCAACTAGTAATGTTGCAGGTAAAATGAACTGAGTGTTTTATGATAGAAACCCAAACTGCTATGTGGTGGCATGATAGGGACAGAGTATAAAAGGATATTTGGAGAGAAGCTTTTTGAGTTTCACCTTAAAGAGGACAGAGGATTGTTTTCTATCTTCACCCTCATTTATATGGTAAAGATGAAGCCCCATCTCCCAGTCTGAGGGGACCTGGAGCACATGGTGGGTGTGAGGGGTTGGTCCTCCAGGACAGCACAAGTCCTGCCTTCTTCATGAAAGTTTCCTGAGAGCTCTGGCCAGGGTGGCCACTCCCTTCTCTGATTTCATGCAGCACTTAATATCAGTACCTTTAGCCTTTGTCTGCTCTGCCTTCATATCTGAGCCCTTTGGAGAATGGACTATATTGATCAGTTTTGTGTTTCACTATTAAGATATGACTGGTTAATTTGAGAGAGCCACATAGGGACCCCTCCTTGGGTTTCTGAGGCGGTATCACTATGGAAGTAGATTGCCCAACCTTGAACCGCCAGTTTTCTGGTTAGCAGTCAAATGCCTTAGGCACTATGCTATCAGAGCTCCTTTTTTATGTTTGTTTTTACTCAGTAACACAGAAAAAGCCAGGAGTTGGACACTCTGGTCTTGCTAGATGCCTTTAAACCTATCATGTACCTTGTCTGGACTTCACTTATCCATAAATGAAAGGGGTGCACTAGCAGACTCCCAGAGCTTGTTCTAACACTCTTTGTTAGGCTTTGTATCAATCAACTTATTAAAGACTGAGTGCACAGTCTACATTGTAATGTTAACAGTACTTACCTCTCAGTGGTGAGGATGTGGGTGATTTTTATTTTCTTCACCATCAGTTTCTACATTTTCCAGATGTTCTACATTGAGCAGTATCATTTTTTCTAATCAGAAGGATTACTTTTAAAACATAAAGAAAAAATCGATGTAGTCATTACTTAGAGGGTGAGGGAATGGCCTAGATTTTGGTAGCAAAGTCAGAATTGTGTACCATCTGTTTTGTCTCAGATTGCAGTTACATCACACGTGTCTTAATGCAAGATGCCTCTCTATGCTCTTCTTCCTTCATGAATTACTGATTCTCATAATTAAAGATTCATACAATTTTAGAATTAGAAAGAATGTCAGCTCCCTTGATACTTGTCCTTCCTCTCCGGGTCTCAGGCTGTTGGTTTTATGGAGGTTGGAAATCCTTTTATTTTGTCACCACAGATGTCATAAGACTGATTACCTCTCATTTAGAGTGCCCATCATCATTCTCCTCTGCTGACAACCTCTGCCGGAAACTGGAGGACCTTCAGCAGTTTCAGAAAAGAGAACCAGAGAATGAGGAGGAGGTGGATATCCTGAGCCTCTCAGAGCCATTAAAGATAAGCATCAAAAAAGAACAGGAAGAGAAACAGGAAGAAATGAGATTCTACCTGCCACCAACACCAGGGTCTGAATTCATCAGTGATGTCACACAGAAGGTAGGGGCTGTGGCTTGTGGTGTCGGTAGGTCACAAACCAGGTCAGGTGCTAAATGTTCAGAGACAACCGTATCGACTTAGGTACTAGACTTTTCTGGTCAGTAAATGTGTGATTAACTTCTCCCTGGTAAATTGCAGTGGCTGTCTGAACACCCACCTTCCTACCCAAGGTCCTTGAGCAAGAAAATTAATTCTAGGTTAGAAGATTACCTGTTGAAGGTATATTTAGAGAAAGGCAGTTAGGTAAAACTTACTCACTGCCCCCAAGTCAGACCTGACTCATAGCGACCCCTCCTTGGGTTTCCGAGGCAGTATCACTACGGAAGTAGATTGCCCAACCTTCCTCCCGAGGAGTGGCTGGTGGGTTTAAACCGCCAGCCTTCCAGTTAGCAGTCAAATGCCTTAGCCACTGTGCTACCAGAGTTCCCTAGCTAGGTAAAGGTGTTTTGTTTTTTGTTTTTTGTTTTTTTTCACTTTTCATCTCCTTTTCTTTCATCTGCCTGAGGAAAAACACCTTTGTCTTATGAAGCATGTCATGTTTCCAGATTATCCTTCCAAGGATAAACTTCTAACATTTTTTATAGCTCTCAAGGGCCCTGCCTGTGGTGTGTATGACACACAGACCACGTTTATTATACCAGAGAGAATTATTTATCCACCACTGATGGAGCTCAACCACTTCTTAGTGTCTGCCACTGCACAGTTGCTCAGGACCCAGAGTGAGAGACATTGTGTTTTCACTGACAGGAAGAAATGAGAAATGGGGCAAGGTGCCATTTCCAGGTGCATCTTCTTCACCTTTTGCAAACGGGGCCTTAGGATCTGATTTCCAGTCTCAAAATTGTTGATCTCACTGTCAGAATTCAGGACAAATCCTGACCATTGTTCTCCCATGAAAGAGATTTGGAGGTACAGGCAGGATTATGATAGCATTTTTAAGTCAACCAGAAAATAGAAAAATAAGATAAAATATCTTTCCAGTTTTTATATTCTGTGTTACTTCCTCATGAGTTTGTGCAGAATGTGTATAGAAGCCTTCTTCTAACTAGGCATCTCTTTGGGGATCAGAAGGACGCTTGTTTAAAGAGAGACTATTTTTAAAGTAGAAATAGGAACTTTTACTTTTGCTTTCCCAGATTGGAATCACCCTGCAGCCCGTAGCACTCCACAGGAACGTGTATGCATCAGTGGTCGAGGACATGATTTTAAAGGTGGGTGACTGCCAGCGGCAGTGCTGTGAGTGCTAGGAATGGGGGCCGGACAGCGGGATGCTCAGACTCCACAGTTTAAAGTGAGAGGCAGGACAGGGAAGGAATAGATGGCAGGTTTTCAAACTTCTCATCTTAAGCTTAGTCCTTTTTTCCCCTCCTGATTTTGTTTTGTTTTTTTCCTTTGTCAAACCTATAAATATTCGTGGGTGTAGTCCCATTCACCTTTCCACACCTGTTCAGCTTGCATGCTGTCTATGTATCCATTTATAGATTATTGTTCTGATTTTAAAATGAAGTCATTCATGGCCTTGTCTGAATGTTGAAGCATCTACTAGAGTTTTTGTGCTACTGGCACTCCAGAGATGTCCTTATTTAGTGCCATTTCAAGTCCTTTTTAAGAAGTATCCTGGGGTAAGAGCCAGCACTCTCAGTGCTGCAGGGAGGTGGCAAAACCTCAGGTTTTCTCTGCATATCATAACAGCAAAGAGACAGCCACAACTATCCTGTCCTTGAACAAGGAGATAATAAAGCCATTCCCTACCTAGTCTGATCCTAGCTCAGAACCTTTCCAGGTGGATCCCCTCCCGTTACAGTGACCTTTCATAGCAGTACTTGCTTCTGTTTTCCCTAAAAGCAGTATCTGATCGTGATTCCAAAGAATAATGGCCTCTATCACTTATAGTCTATTATTCCAACCTTTAATTTTTCTTTAAGGATACTGATCCTTAGATGCAGTTGTTTCACGTTTGGGGTAAGGGATGGAGTCAGACACATCCCTTCCTTTCAGCAGGCAGTTGTCCGTTTTGGAGAGTAACCACATCATCTGTTGCAGGCTACAGAACAGCTGGTGAGTGATATCCTGAGACAGGCCTTGGCAGTTGGATACCAGACAGCATCTCACAACAGGTACTGTTAACTCCTAGTCAGTGGTGTTAGGCTTATAGATATTTCCTAGCAGTTCAGTTGCCCGCCAAGATGTTTTATGCTTAAATCATGCAAGTAGGAGATGAGGCTGTCAGTTTTTGGGGACATCCTTATAGCCAGGCATACTCAGGATCTGCTCTGTCTCTCTTTTTTTTTTTTTTTTTTTGAGAGAGAGAGAATCTCTTGGTTAGAAATGCTCAGCTCTGCCTGGAGATACCTTCCAAGTCATTTTTCCATAGACACCTGCAGGCTTTTATGTTACAGGGTTGAATGAACAAATATCAGCTGTTTGGAATAAAAAGTACCAACGGTGCCCATTATGTGTCGGACCTTGGGGTCAGGCATAACATACACAGTGAAACCTGTGGGAGCCAGAGCTCCATGGGACTGCCTTGTTTTTCTGGGTCTCACAAGCTTTCAACCTTTGACAGGTGCAGTCTTAACCACTTTTTACCACTGTCTGGTAGTAAAAAATACTTGTGTTTTCCTTCTTTGACAGGTTTTCTGCCTTCTGCAGGTTTCATTTTTGTCAAGTTGAACTGTATTACCTAATTTATCTTAGCAATTGTTATTGCTGAATTAGTACTTCCTTTTTAGAAATTAGGAAACTGAGCATTATTATCATTATTATTAGCAAATACTCAATAGAATCTAGATTCATACCCAGGTCTTCTCATTGGCTTACCACTTAATTCTTTGCTGCTCCCTAATAATTATAATCGTTTGGAACACTGGGTTTTCTCTTTCTCTGGGCCCTGGAAGGATGACAAGTAGGTCCTTTTTCCACACCCTGGTATTCCTTTCATAGGAAACAGATTTTATTTGGTCCCGTTTTAGCAAGGGCTATCATAAATTTAGAGAATGGTGACAAAGTGCCTGAAAACATGAAGAAGCCTAAATCAGAGCGATATTAGGTCAGACTTCATAGGAATGTAATACATCAGGCAGAGTAGAAGAGGTCTTTAAGGAAAAAGAAAGGGGGAAGAGGTTTGGTAGTGCTGCTGCTTGTCCGGCTTGAAATCCGAGAGTGAGCTGCCCGCCATCTGGGGCGCCTGCTCACCTCATGGTCCTGCCTCTGGAAAGTAGGGGACTGGGGTGCTTTGATAAGAACATTTACCATCACACTTGGTTTGGCTTAGCTCCACCTCCCATCTTTCCACCAGACAGGAAATAACGGCCCCAGAGTTCTGTGGTGCTTTGACTCAGACTGAATTACAAAAATACTGTTCTGTTCCTCTATCCACTTTACTTCTTCTCACCTTTCTCAGTCCTCAGAATCTTTTCCTAACCATTCAGCCAACTTCTTAAAACCCTTCTCATGCCTGTGACTGGGCAGTCATGTCTGACCCCTGAGCAGGCCTGACTGTGAGTGAGAGTAGGCCAGATCTTTCACCAATGCTGAAAAGGAATAATGGAGAAAAGAAAAAGCGAGAACCCACTCGGCCACCCCATCCGTTCCTAAGTGACCCCAAGCAATAACCTTGTCATTCATCATTGTCTCTTCCTTTAGGGCCTATATAAAGAATGTTCCTTCCATTTGGTAAACTAATGATATTATTACATACTTGATAGAGTTACACCTGATAACACCCTTTGTTTTTTGGACTAGGATTCCCAAAGAAATTACAGTGAGTAATATTCATCAGGCCATTTGCAACAATCCTTTCCTGGACTTCCTCACAAACAAACACATGGGGATATTGAATGAGGATCAGTGAACAGAATGAAGATGCCCTCGAAAAGCAGGCTCTGATGCCAGTGGGAAACATATGAACTGTGATGACTCCTATGTGGGGAAGGCAACTGTTTGCTGTGAGCCTCGGAACATCATGGCTGCTAAACCACTGCCTCCACCTCATGCAGCATAGCACCAGCATGTCCGTCCCAGATGAAATCGTTTTAGGACAGAAGTTGGTTTCCTGATTCTAGAATGAAGCTGTGAGTGGATACGTGCTCTCTCAGCTTGTATCTGTTCACTTTCTGTAAAGCCTCCTCCATGAGAGGATCTTAGCGCTGGGCCAGGCTGTGCGGATCAGGTCCTCCTCTCTGGGGGTCCTCCAGGGAGTTCGATGCACTAGAGATTTCACCCATTCTGTGGGCTGGAATCACAGGCAGCCGCACTAGTTCCTCTGGTAACATCTGAAGATGGATTAGGTGCCAGCAGTCAGTGGTGGTTCTTGATCCTGGCTGGCCTCGGTGTGGAGGGCCTACACTCTCAGCCCATGTGAGCCAGCTGTGGGAAGAGGTGATGCCGAGCAGAAAACCACAAAGGCCTGGTGATGAGCTGCAAACTGACCAGAATTCTGTTTGTAGGGAGCACAAGAGTGTCACCACAGCCAGTCTCCAAGCAATGTTGAGGGCTACAGATCCCAGCCTGGTTGAGCAAAAGGCTTGAGTGTACCCCAGAACCTCTTCATTTGTTGGTAACAGACAACGTCCACAGATCCTGAGCACTTGGCAGAATCATTGTACAGCTTTGAATACCTGTGTGCTGGGCTGATGGTTGGCTCACATCCATCTGCAGGACCTTCTGCAAGTCTGTATTAAGTGGCCACAACTGAGCAGCCCCCGGGGGCAGTTTCTGCTGGGATTGTTCATCCTCTCGTGGGCTCAGTGTGTTCTCTCAAGGGAGTGTTCCTAAGAAGAAAAGTGTTTGAAGGAAACACCTGTGAGTGCCTTAAAGGTGGAGAAATAACTACCCAAGCCTAGAGACAGAGATGTCAGTGCTCAGAAGCAGTGAGACTAGAGTGTGCACAAGCACAGGTCAGCAGAGCCACTGCCCGATGTCCAGGGCCCTGAGGGAGCTCTTTGCTGGCCTTCCTGACGTGGTCTGTGTAAAAGGTAAAGACAAGAATTTATTCTCAGCAGTCTGCTCTTAGTCTGCTTGAAGAAAATTTGAAACCTGTGAATCAGAGTCAAAGAAATTTGTCCAGGCAACGTAAGTCACGTTTTCATGAGTCAGATGTTTGAGTCTGGAAAACAAGGCAGGGAGGTGGCTGGGTGAGATGCTGATGATTCAGCCCTGAGGGCTGCAGATGCAGAAGGAATCTAGTCAGTGGGGTACAGGGTCCCCTGACCTAATAAAGACTCAAGTATCGATGTATGAACTACTCCAAGCAAGATAGGTTGGTATGTGGAGTCATTCAGCAAGTGGACCGTGACAGAGCTACAGGACAGAAGATTGGATCCAAATGAGCACAGTCTCATTTATGACAGGTATAGCAGCCTAAAGACATTATCTTTTTGCAAAAGAAATTTTAAATGATTTAATAACCTCATGTGTGTTAATGTTTCCAGTGTACTGTACCATAATGTGTAACATAATTGTGTAAGAAAAATGTCTACAATAAATCTTTCAGTATTTGTGATGGGTTTTTCTGGGTTTCAAGCACTGTACCAAGGTAGGGTTCTTTTTGGATTATGTCAGAAAGAGCTGGGATGGGGGAAATAGTAGGTGTTTATTTGTGTTTAAAATAATTCCTTTCCAAAAAGAATTTGCAACCACGCAAGATAAAAGATTACAGTTAACATAAAAACCTGAAACAAAAAATGGAAGGTACATACTGACCCTGGAAATAATTATTTTTGATAGCATGGAGCTAAGGAAAACTGCATGTTTGTGCTCTGAGATTCCTCTTAAACCTAGGCCAAGAGGGAAAATGGTTTCCATTGTCAGGCAAGGATACATAGTGGTCTACCTGCCAGGACAAAGTCAGTTTCTGCTGCAGTCTAGAAGGTGTTTCTCCTTTGAGTCCTTGTACTGTAACCAACCTGTATCATGATGGCAAAAAGTGACAGAAATTACAGAAAGATTTCAAAAATGACCACTTTTTATATCAACCTTTAATATGAGCTAAAGACTTTGAAAGATTTGGTTCTAGTAAAGCAAAAATTTCTGTAAGGAGACACTGTAACGTTCCAAGAATGTAGCTCTGTTGGGACCAGATTCTCTTGGAGTCAGAATTTAGGACCTGACTAGTCTGGAGGATTGTGGGTAGAGGCTATCCCTGGGCTCACCTTCTGGAAAATGAATCATCTCAGCCAGGAACCCCAGAGCAGACATTATGAATCAGTGTCACAGGCAGTACCTCAAGTTTGCATACAGTCCCTGTGTGGAATGGAGCCCACAGAGTCAGTGTTTGGGCCTCTTGTTAACCTTTCTGAAAGGGGATGTTCCTCTCCTGGCCCAAGTGGGCCAGCAGGGCCAGGCTTTTCTCAAAAGCAGCTTTTGGAGTTTGGCTTAAAAGTCCTGGGGTCCTGCCACACAGAGGTGGGACTGAGTGTGAGTCACCCAGCTGGAAGGACTTTCTTTGATGGGCTTTCCCCACCTGGATCTGCCTGGTCCAGCCCCCCTGCTAATGGGACAACTGATCACTCATCATTGTCCCTTCCATTAGGGCCTGTGCAGGCAGTGGTTTCTTTGGTAAATAAATTATTATGTACTTGAAAGAATTATACCTGATAATGCCCCCTTGTTGTAATGGCAGCTTTGGTTACAGAATAATGTTGAACGTTTTCTTTTGGCTGAAATTAGCTAACTGCTTTTGATTTTTTGGATTGAACTACTTTTATTTTTAAAAACTTTTCTGTTTATCAGTTTAATACAAAAATGATTAGTGTAGATAATTTTTATTAAGTATCCAACCAAAACCAAACCCACTGCTATCAAGTCGATTCTGACTCATAGCAACTCTGTAGGGCAGGATGGAACTGCCCCATAGGGATTCCAAGGCTATCAGTCTTTATGAAAGCAGACTGCTGCATCTTCTTCCCATGAGCAGCTGGTGGGTTCTACTGCATGGAGCCACTAGCACCACCATGGCTCCTCTCAGCAAGTGTAGGAAAGCATATAAAAATAAAAATTACCCACAGTCCCCTTTCTCAGAAATAACCACTGTTAATACTTCAGTGCATTTCTCTCTCTCTCTGTGTATAGGTATTGTCTTTATGTATAAAATATATATGAATTGGGACCACATGGTTGACACTTTTAGTTGCTGCTTAAAGTAACATTATGCTTCGTTGTGGTTGTTAGTTGCCATCAAGTCATTTCTGACTCACAGCAACTCCATGTACAAGACTGCCTGGTCTTCACCATCCTTACAGTTGCACTGTCAGTCCATCTCACTAAAGGTCTTTTTTTTTGTTTGTTTTTTGCGACCCTCTACTTTACCAAGCAAGATGTCCTTCTTTAGGGACAGGTCCTTCCTGATAACTTGTCCAAAGTATATGAGACAAAGTCTCACCATCCATCTTTCTAAGGAGACTCTTGACTGTACTTCTTCCAAGACAAGATTTGTTCATTTTTCTGGCAGTCCATGGTATATTAAATACTCTCTGCCAACATCATAATTCAAAGGCATAAATTCTTCTTCAGTCTTACTTATTTATTGTCCAGCTCTCACATGCATATGAGGCGATTGAAAATACTGTGGCTTAGGTCAGGTGCACCTTAGTCTGCAAGGTGACATCTTTGCTTTTTAACACTTTAAACAGGTCTTTTGCAGCAGATACGTTATGCCTCACTAAAACCCAGAGTGAGTAGTACATTGTTCTTCAGGGCCTAGATGTCCTACTAGTTAATGAAGCTTGGTAAGGCAGGTTAGGGGTTTGGGGTGTTTGTGACAAGTTGCTTGACAACATTCCAAAAAGGTTCTTGGGCAGGCTTTCTTACTTTTTGTGCCAACGCTGCCAGGAAGGGCAGACTGACTTATCCAGGAAGGACAGGGCAGCTCAGACCTTATAGCAAAGGCATGAGTGGACTTTCTGGCTGGGTCTTGCAGGGAGGTGGGAAAGCTATGAGCTGTGCAATGTAACACAGGTGGGGTTTGGTAAAGGGGGTTGTGAGCACTCTAGGGCATATGGAGCATGTTAGTGGCATTAGATAGATCAAAACTATGGATGGAAATAGAGCTGGCTCCATGGTGCTTAGGCAGGAAAGAATAATTTTAACAGTTGTGCTTTACTGGCTGTGTATTGTGCACCAGGCACTATACTAAACACCCTGCACATAACAAATCTTCTTAGCAAGCCAGCAAGTCTCGCTTTACAGATGGCCAAACTGAAGCTCAGGTTGCTTACAGTGAGGAGAAGCCAAGGTTTGAGCCCAAGGTTAGCTTCAAAAACTCCTGGATGGTGGGTGGGGGGCCGTTAAACATGAAAGAGGAGAGGTTGGTGGACTCTGAAACACTGCATATGACACCAGTGTAGATCTGCAGCCAGCCCTGAGGTTGGAAGTTCCTTAGGATTTTCAGGGCTCCCAGGGACACTAGCATTAACGATGGTACATTAAGGTCCTTGATACCAAGAGAGAAAGAAGTATGAGAAAGTGCTCATGTTTATAAGTAATTTAAAGAAAGAAATTAACAAGTAATTGAAATGGTACATTTCTGCATTTTAGTAAAATTTGAGATTGTACGGTTAATCTTCATTTCCCACAGAATGCCCAGCTGGCAGTCTCATCTCAGAAACCTCTAACATACAAACCAATTAAATCTGAAATAATAGAACCCTTTGTATGGGTTTGGTTTCCCTGTAAAATGATCCTCTCATCAGGGCATCTCCTCTGCTGGAGGGAAGGGCTGTGCCTGTCAGAGCCGTCCTCTCTGAGGGACAGCTGGAAACAGGTGGCCCCTCCTCATCTAGGGTGCTTGTAAAGTTTTGACAACCCCCTCCCAGGGTTTACAGCACTTGTGGGCTGGAGAGGGGAAAGACCCAAAGGGAAATCTTTTTGTGTCCTTACCAAAAAAAAGCCCCAAGCTTTTGCTTTCAGGGTCTGAGAAGAGTCCTAAAACAGACAAGTTCCCCATGGCCACACTGACTGGTATTTATGGAGAGAGTTGGTGTTTTCTATCCGCCTTCCAAAGATAAACAAGCAGCCTCCTCAGGCAGGGGTAAGCTTCCTGACGCAGTCAGTGTGAGCAGTGCAGGGGTGAGGTTGTGGCGTTGGTTTAGATGATGTTTTAAGGTCTTTAAGGGACTGAGGCAAATGCCACCTTCCCAAAAATGGGCTTCTGATTCTTAGTGTGGGTAGTACTTCCCTTCTAATCATCAATTATGTTAGAGGGAAAACAGAAATTAGTAAAACAAGGGGCCCAGTTGTTAGAAATCTCCCACAAGATGTCATTCATTCAGCCACTCATCCCAAGAAATGTTTTCTTAAAACAAGGATCATCTTGGCCATAAAGAAATGTCTTTGAAATTGAATCTCTATGAATGACATTATTTCTTTTGGAAACCTCTTCCTGGTTACTTAGCATCACCCTGAGTCACATGCAGGTGAGAACCTGAATTTCTTCTACAAGGTGGAGCCATTTGTAGGAGAATCCACAGACATCACCATAAAATCATCATGCATCCTGGGGAGACAATAAAAGTGTGCACTGCTGGTTCTTTAGTGACCTTCTAAGTTCATATTCTTTAGCTCCCATGGGCCAATTTAGGTCACAGTAGAACTGATCTTCAACTATTGTGAGGTTGGCACCGTGTTCTTCAGATTTGAAAACTGAAGGATGGCCAAAAGGGGCTGCTAAAAAGAGACTGAAGGTTTCCTCAAAATCCGCGAGGGAGGAGAAAGTGTTGAGGCTGAGCTGAGTTGAGATACTGTTTCCATTTGTCCCTCATCTGTTTCAAGCCTGATCCAGCAGCCATGGACAGTCCTGAGAGGAGTCTAGCAGTGAGACTTGGGCCATACCCTCTTGTGAGGACATGAGGGCATGTGCCGTGGTCCCACCACAGTCTTCTGGTGGTCCGAAGAAAGCCACAGCTACTGCTGCCCTCTAGAGTCTGGCCAGTCACACATTGAGAATCCGAGGCGCTGGAGCCTGAAAGATGGCTGAAGGGTTGGGAGCAAATTTCTTCCTCACCTCTGGGACCTGAAAAATGAAATGTGGTCAGCAGGCCTTTTCCTTAACTACCCCCCGACACCCACCAGCTCCAGAGTGGAAAGTTGAGACTCCTAATCTTAGGGTCATACAGCACACAGACCTTCCGTTCTATTCAGGTGGAATCTGAACTGGCCCCACCTCCCCATCTTCTCGTTCCTCTAACAGAAATGTTCAGGTATGCAGAAGGGCTGGTCACTAGCACTCAGTGGTCACCAAGGGTAAAACTCGGATTTAGGAGAGGAAAGCCCCTGTTCACCAAAAAGACCAGCACTACGGGCATGCCCATGGCTAATAACGAAGAAGTTACCTTGGTTTTCTGTTTGTCAAGGGACAAGTGGTTGGGCACTCAGACACTGCTGTCCCTGGCCAGCTATACTGTCATTTTACACCAGCAACATCTGATTCCATGTCCCTAAACTGGAAAACACCTCTGCTCTCACAACCCTGCACTGGGCCCCCAGCCACTCGGCCTTGCAGCACCACTTCAGGCTGACCTGGAAGCTGGCTTCGGAGCTTCTGTCCCATCCAGAGCTGTGGGTTGTAATGATCGTGGCTGGTTTCACCTTTGTGGCTCTTGATGGCTTCACTCCTGTCCAGGCCTGGAATTCCTGTCTGAGACAGAGTATAGCCACAACCTTGCATAGGCCCCCCCCGCCCCGACTCACACTCCCACAGAAGCCACTGCTTGGGTGCACCACGCTTCCTGGAATGTCCCAGCTCTCTGCTGCAGTCCTGCCTCAGCTCCAGGCTGCCCTTTACCTCTCCACCCCTTACAGAGACGGATGTGGCAAACCATATACTCCCTGGTCAGATCCCGTTCTGGGGAAAGCAGGTCTGAGTTGACCTGCTCTTTACTCCATTAGGAAATCAGCTGCCTTCTGTCAGCAACTTAGAGGAGCTGCGTTTTGACACTCACTTCCACCTGACCCTCCCACCCTGAGCACCTAAGAAAATAGGAGCAAAGCTGTTCCCACATTACACCAAGAAACGGCTCTGGGGCCATGGGAGTTAGGAGCAGAGCTTTAGCATCTGGCTCTTACTCATCCAAGGAACAGATGGACCTGGAATGTGCTAGGTTTGGGAGACAGTCCCAGCCCTACCTCTAGAGCTCTCTCTCTGTCTCCGTTCTAAGTGGAATTCTCCCACTTCTCCAGGGAACCAGAACTGGTGGAGGTCAGTGGCCTCCAGCCCAGGTCACTGGTGGCCATTTATATCCAGAGGCAGTGCCAGCCTGCACAGTGCCAGGCACAGCCGGGGGCCTTCATTCCTTGTAGCTGTGGTTGCGAATGACGAGGGAAAAAGAAGGCTCTATCTTAATGCTTTCTTCTTTTTTTTAACCTAACATATGCAAATTAACTTCCTTATTAACTCCTACAATGAGAATGAATCGTAATGATCATTTTAAAAACCTAAAAGATGGTCTGGCTTTTCCATGGTTCTGTGGATGTGGGAGTAGGTCCTCGGATGGGACGTCAATGTACTTTGCTGTTACTGAAAGGTTGGACGTTCAGGTCCACCCAGAGGTGCTCAGAAAGCAGACCTGGCAGTCTACCTCCAAAGACCAGCCATAGGACACCCGCATGGAGTCAGAGCTCAGTGGCAGCTGGTTTGGTTTTTGGTTTGGTGCATACCCACAGGACACTGCACATGTGCACCAGTGTGAGCTGCGAGGGAAGGTCTCCAGACGGGGGAAAGCTGGCTCCCTGCAAGGAAGCAACAAGACTGTCACTGCCTTGTTCATCCTTGTAGAGAATTTTTTTTTTTTTTTTTTTTTAAAGATTGTAAGCACCCTGAACATCCAGAGCTGAATTTTTCAGAGCTGCCTTTTTTGGGACTTTTGGAACTGGGGAAAAAAATAAAAAATGAAATTATATATATATATATATTGTTGTTGTTATGTGCCATCGAGTCAAGCCCGACTCATAGCGACCCCTCCTTGGGTTTCCAAGGCAGTATCACTACGGAAGTAGGATTGCCCAACCTTCCTTCCGAGGAGTGGCTGGTGGGTTTGAACCGCCAGCCGTCTGGTTAGCAGGCAAGTGTCTTAGCCACTATGCTACCAGAGCTCCCTATATATATATATATATATATATATACACACACACACACACATATATATATATACACACACAAACACACACATTTTTTCTCCCTTCACCCAAATTAATGTATGTACGTCTGCCCTCCCTCCCCCACCGACTCCAGGTAACCATCAAAGAATATTTTTTGTGTGAAATCCTTTTCTTGACTTTTTACAATGTTGTTGTTGTTGTTATGTGCCATCGAGTCAGCCCTGACTCATAGCGACCCCTCCTTGGGTTTCCGAGGCAGTATCACTACGGAAGTAGGATTGCCCAACCTTCCTTCCGAGGAGTGGCTGATGGGTTTGAACCGCCAGCCATCTGGTGAGCAGTCAAGTGCCTTAGCCACTATGCTACCAGAGCTCCTATTATACTTGTCCTTTGTGATTGATTAATCCCACTTAGCATAGTGGGCTCTGAGTTCATCCATGTTTTCCAGATGCATCATTGTTCCTTAACGTTACTCTATTGTATGTATGTGCCATAGTTTGTTGACCCATTCCTCCATTGATGGATATTTAGGTGGTTTCCATCTTTTTGGTATTGTGAATAGTGCTGCGATGCGTGTGCATGTGTTCATGTCACAGCTCTTATTTCTGTAGGATATTACCTAGTAGGATTGCTGGATCATATGGTATTTTTATTTCCAACTTTTGAAGGAAGCACCATACTGTATTCCACAGTGGTTACACTTATTTTAAGTCCCACCAACAGTGTATGAGGGTTCCAGTCTCCACACCCTCAACAGCATTTGTTATTTTCTGTCTTGTTGAACTTTGCTATTAGTGCTTGGGTAAGATGATACCTCATTGTTGCTTTGATTTGGACCTCTCTAATAGATTGCAAGCATTTCTTCACGTATTTGAAGTAACTTACGTGAAGGAAAATTTAACTCCTCAATTCCTCTGAACCAAAAAACCCTATTTATTTCAATTTTACTCTGTCAACTCTTCTTTAGGCAGTGAGTTCATGGCAGGAGAGAGTGCCTGTGCCAGGTGTGCCCGGCCAAGGTATGTTCTGTGGACAAGAGTCTAGCTGGCCAAAGTCCATACCCACATATAGGTGGGGAGCCCACAGCCCAGGCAGGACCCACCCTTGCTGTATATCAGGCCCATGGTCAACAGAGCTTCTCCTCTTGGGCAGCAGCACAGCCGGGGCACTGCAGGCAGGCCACATGGCAGGGGTCTGGGCTGTCCAGTCAGTACTCGGATGCTCGAGGTGCCAGAAGGCAAACAAGACCAGAGCCCTATCAGAGAATTTTTGCTTCTGAAGCTGTAAGGTTCCAAAGACCAGCTGCCCAAACCATCTGCTGCTCTCTTTCTCCTGGGGCAGCACGTCCTCCCCCGGGCACTGCCCTTCTGTCTGCAAACTGCTTCTCAGGTCTAAGCTGAGCCTCAGGTTTGACAGCCTGAACCTGCAGCCCCAAGTGGCTGTGGGGGTCCCAGAGCAGGAAGCCAGGGCCTTGACTAGAACAATCCCTGTGGCTGCTAGAAGACACAGAGAGGAACCCCCTAAAGGTGGGGCAGTGGGTGCTGGTGCTGGAGCCCCTGCCAAAGAGGACTGCAGGGGGACAGAGAAGGGAGAGCAAAGATGGAACCAGCAGGGCCTGGTGACTGCCCAGGAGAGAAGGTGGCAGCCGCCAAAGACAGCCAGACGGAGGGCTCGGGCCAAGAAGATAATAGACAGGACTAGCCACACCCACTGTGTGCCTCCACTTACAGTATTCCAATCATCGTCCACCTCGTGTGTGCCAGGAAGAGCAGAGGCTGTAGCCCTCACTGCACGGCAGCATGGAGAGCCCTGGACTGGGTGTCAGGGCCTGGATTCAGCCCAAAGTGGCTTCAGACAAATTCCTTAACCTCTCTGAGCCTGTTTCCTGTGCTGAGAAACGGGGCGACTAATCTCTGTGCATGATATTATTGTGACCCTTGGTGATGGGCATCTGGAAATGTGGGAGTCAAGTATTGTGGAACTGTAGCATTAGCCTTTACTATCCCACCCAAGAAGGAAGGAGAGATGAGTGAGGAAGGAGTCTGGGACTGTCTTCCAGAAGTGGGTGGAGTTTGGCCAAAAGCAAAATGAACAACCCTGAGAGCAGAATGCATGAGGGGAGACTCTGGGATGGCTAGCCAGGGGGAGGAATCCTGGCTGGCTACGAGCAGGACCACCATGCCCACCTAGCCAGACAGGTGAGGCAGGCCAGTTCTCATGTACCTGGCAAGGCAGGGCTGCTGGGTGGGAAGGTTGGGGTCCAGGGGTGTCTGGGCAGCCACTTGGAAACCCTGAGTCAGAAGTGGCCACATGTCCACTTTGATATCTTTGGATTCCCTGCATCTGTTACGTCTCTGTTCTCTGAGTTTCTTTAAATAGTTTGCATAGGTGATACGCATCTTGCAAGAAGGCAGGCTGCAGAGCTGAGAAGTGAAGGGTCCCTAGGCCTGTGGCATTGCTAGGGGAGCCAGGCAGAGCAGTGATTCTCTCCCGGGGGGTGGGGCACGCACGGGCCCAGGCAGCCAAGCTTTCTTTTCTTGCTTTGCAGATGAGGACATAGTCAGAGGCCCACTAACCCACCTGGGTTTACAAACCAGGCAGTGAGCGATCCCATGAGTCCCCACTCCTATGTGCCAGTCCTTTTCCACCACAGCAGAGCACAGGGCAAAAACTAAGTGATTGAGAGGAGATGGCAGCCTAGGGATGACAACCTATTATTGGTAGTGGTGCTGTCAAGTCCGTTCTAACTCATAGCAGCCCTACATGCAACTGAACGAAACGCTGCCTGGTCCTGTGCCATCCTTACACTCCTTTGAGCCTCCTATTGCACTGTGTCAATCCATCTTGTTGGGGGTCTTCCTCTTTTTCACTGACCCTCTGCTTTACTACGCTTGATGTCCTTCTCCAGGGATTGGTTCCTTCTGGTAACATGTCCAAAGTTATGTGAAACAAAGTCTCGCCATCCCCTCACTTCTAAGGAACAATTTTGCTGTACTTCGAAAACAGAGATGTTCATTCCTCTGGTATATTGAATATTCTTCTCCAGCGCCATAATTCAGATGCCCCAATTCTTACTCATTATTCTTATTCTTTGTCCAGCTTTCACATGCATATATGGCAATTGAAAATACATTGGCTTGGGTCAGACTCACCTTAGTCCTCCAGGTGACATATTTGCATTTTAACACTTTGCAGAGAGCATCTTTTGCAGCAGACTTGATTTCTTGATGGTTGCTTCCATGGGTGTTGATTTTGGGTCCATATAAAATGAAATCTTTGACAACATCAGTATTTTCTCCAACAACAGCCTGTGGTGGGCACAGAGTTGGGCTCTGAGTCTGGACAGACTTTGAGTCCACTCCCTGCCTGCCATGAGCAGCTGTGTGAACTTGAGCCAGTGGCCCAGGTTCCTCATCTGTAGGATGGGGACGGTGATGACTGATCCCGACCCCACAGTGTTCTTGTGAGGCTTCAGGAAGATGATCCGTGGAGAATGCAGAGCCTGGCGCCTCCACTGTACACAGTTCTAGTTACCCGATGCTGCTTTCCTGAGCTGAAGTGATCTCCCTGCAGGCTCCATCCCTTGTCCTCGTTCTGACACCCAGGACATGCCTGCTCCTTCCTCCTCCCTTGGCCACTGAGCCCTCCAAAGTCGGCTGCAGACATGACCTCAGGTCACCAGGAGATGTCTTTTCCAGACCACTTACTTTCTGGCCCCTTGATGTGACAGACCACCCACAGCACTGCTGCTCAGAGTCTGCCTGCCACTGAGGTTGAGCATGTGGTCCATGAACGCAAGACCCACCCTATAACCACTTATCATCAAATTCCTTAAAAAGTTCAGACCTACGAAGGAATCTTCTGGGAAGATGGAATGTTCTGTATGTCCCGGTAATGGTGCTGTTACTTGGGCATACCCATTTGTCAGAAGTCATCCATCTACGTATACACTCAAAATGCGTGAATTGTATTGTATGGAAATTATACCTCAACATAGTTGATTTTTAAACATAATGAAGTTGGGGATAAAGTTCATACCTTTTGGCCCTATAATTCCACAGGTAGGAATTTACCGCAGAGAAATGAGCTGACTAAAGGTTACACTACAAGGATGCTCATCACTTTGGTTTTTATTTTAAAATTTGTGGGTTTTTTTAAAAAATGGGTAATACGTGTACGTATTTAAAAAAAAAAAAAAAAAGAAGAGTAGAGTCTCTCGTCCATCTGTGGCAGATCCCTGCCCTGCTTCTGCCCCTCAGAGGAGCATTTTCTCACATGTCCATGCTCAGAAGTATTCTGTGCTTTGAGCAACTTCAATACAGGCATACCTCGTTTTATTGTACCTCACAGATACTGTTTTACACATAGAAGGTTGTGCCTCAAGCAGGTAGGTGTATCTGCTGCTTGTGTCTCACATTTTGGTCATTCCCACAGTATTTAAAAAACTTTTTCAAAATGCTGTTGCACACTTAATAGACTACAGTATGCTGTAAACATAACTTCTCTATGCACTGGGAAACCAAAAAAAATTTGTGTGACTCACTTTATTGCAATATTCCCTTTATTGTAGTGGTCTGGAACCAAACCTGTTATCTCTCTGCAGTATGTCTGTATTAATATCCCCTTTTAAAACAAAATATTGGCATATTACACCTGCTGTCTGCACCTTCCTTTTTTGATGTATACTGAAGCTTCATCATATCCCATCCTGTCAGTGTGCCCTAGTTTACCAGTCCCAGTGTCCCTAGGACACAGATTATGTCCATCTTCTTCTATACACTGTTGCAGGGTACCCAAGACCCCTTACTCCTCATCCCACGCTGTAGGGAACATTCCTAGAAGCCAAATAGTTGGTCCAAATGAACAGTAGTGTTTTTTAATAGACTCAGAACACCCTAAATATTCCATAAGAAAACCCAAAACCCACTACCATTGAGTCGAATCTCAATTTATAGTGACCCTATAGGACAGAGTAAGGAGCTCTGGTGGTGGTGTGGTTGAGGTACTTGGCTGCTACCCAAAAAGTCAGGTTCAAACCCATCAGCCACTTCATGAAAGAAAGATGAGGCTGTCTGCTTCTGTAAAAATTTACACCCTTAAAACCCAATAGGCTTAGCTGAGATAGAATCAACTCGGTGGCAATGAGTTTGGTTGGTTGGTTCTAGGACAGAGTAGAGTCACTCCATAGCGTTTCCAAAGCTGTAATTTTTAGGGAAGTACATTGCAACATCTTTCTGTGGCAGAGTGCCCAGTGCTTTTTAACCACCCATCTTTTGATCAGCTGAGGGCTTTAACCAGTGCTGCAGCAGGGATCCCTATATTCCTTAACAGAGTAGATAAAACTTTGTCTATCCATAGGATAAACATCTGTACGTCTATTCAAGTTTATGTTGTAGAGAACACCTAGTAACAGTGACAGACAGAAAAAATAATTAAAAAAAAAAAAAAAACCACTGCCGTCAAGTGGATTTCGATTCATAGCGACCCCTCTTTGGGTTTCCCAGGCTATATCACTATGGAAGTAGGTTGCCCAACTTTCCTTCCCAGGAGGGGCTAGTGGGTTTGGACCGCCAGCCTTCTGGTTAGCAAATGCCTTGTACACCAAGAATCATGAGATATGTAAGTGGACATGCTCTCAAATGCATGTTAAGGATTAGAAAGAAATGACAGTTTGCGTTTGGGGTAAAGGAGGTATTTTATTGTAATTTCTATTGTTTCTGTTTTCCTACAGTGAATATGTATTACTTTTGTAGTAAGAGAAAGAAGGGAGAAAGCCCTGCATTGTTCAGGTGGAGAGCTCGGGTGGGCAGGAACCACGGGCCTGTCCTCAGCTGAATCATGTCAACAGCCCTCACTCAGCCAGTGGAATCTTGTAGGAACCACCTATTCAGGAGTCCTGTGCTCCATCCTCAACACCACTCAGCCTTTCCACAGAGGTCACTGACCAGAGGGAGCGCTGTAGCTGGCCTGGGCTCACCCCTTTTAGGCCCACCCAGTGGGAGTTAAGTGGAAGCAGATCCAACTGAGTCAAGGCAGGCCTTTCTGACAGGGCTGATCAAGAGGGGTGCAGGCTGCCCAGTGAGATAGTGAGCTCCCCATCAGTGGAAGTGCTCATCCACGCTGAGTCTGGTCGGGCAGCAGCGAAGGCGACGCCTCAAGTGCCCGGGGGCCAAAAGGAGATACAACATTTAAGGCCGTCTGCAACCCTCTCTCTTCCCACCCACCCGCCGCCCTCTCGACTCCGTGCCTCAGTTTACTCCAACCAGGGGTGTTCTTGACGCGATGCGTTTCCCTGCCCCCGCCCAATACCTGTATGACGTGGTCGCTGCTGGAGCCGCGTCCGCGTCGCCGATGGGGAGCACGTAGACCCCTTGGCCGCCGTGCGCAGGGGGTCTGTCCCTGCGACCGCCGGTCCCCGCTCCGCGCCCCTGCGGAGTATCCCTGGGCGCCGTCCGCACGCCGAAGTCGCTCTGGTACTGAGTGAGCGGCACGTCCCGGTCGGGGTCCGAGACGCCGGTGGGAACCGGGTCCCTGCGCGAGGCGGTGCCGCCCGGACCCGGCTCCTCGCTCTCGAGGTCCGAGTAGCTGTGCAGGGTCAGCGGCACCGCCACGTCGGAGCGGTCCAGCTGGTTCCAGCGCCGCGCCAGGCAGCAGAGGCGGC